ATTATTATTATATTTCTATTATTTATTTACTATTTAACTATCATATTTATAATTATCTCTGGAAGATAATTTTCTTTTGCATTACTACTAAATTATTTGAAGTTTATTATTTTTATAGAAGATTCTGTAACAGAGTTTTATAACCAGAATATTGTTAACCATCAAGCACAACATCAACTTAACTCTGCTCTTGCTACTACTATACTTCAAACTAATGTATCTGATTATTCTTGTATTAAGTGTTTTCCTCCAAATCATGTTAGCCCTCAACTTGATTTTGGTATTTTCTGAACTTGGTACTCTACTAGTTATTACACTGAATCCTATACTCACATTACCCAAACTAATCATAACCAATTATCAGTAACACACAAATCATCAGCTGCTCGAATTGCTACTAGAAATATTATTTTTAGTTGCCAATATAGTACAAATATTGGCAGTGCAAGGGATATTGTTGCTGCTCTATTTTTTAGATATACACCTTTTTAAGATATTCCTGAAATTAGATACCCTGACAAAAATCACTACGATATTTATATTGATAACCCTAACTATAGAAGATTATATATTAGACCTATCATATATCAAAATTTTTCCCAAACTTTAGAACAATTTACCTATCAAACTCCTCGGCAAGACATAACTATTACTACTTACAATAACCCTAATTTTGTAACTACTATCACTACACAACAAGTTGTGGATACTTTAGACCCTTATAGTGGTAATAGAAGGGAACATAGTAACTCACCTTATCAACCTTATCGATCTTTATACCGAAGGAATAGTTTATTAACTATTTATCATACTTGTAATAGAATTTGACCCCAAATACCTTTAATTTACCAATTAAACCCAAATCAATTTCAAGAAGTTCCACTTGATAACACAGTATACACTCCACTTGTAACCCCACCTCCATGTCTATTAAATCTTCAACAAGAAAAAAATACAAACCAAGGAAGTAAACAATTACTAGATAGTCTTGATAATTTTTTTCAATTACCTTTTCTACCCCAAGAAGAAAGAAAGGACTCTAATTCTGTTACTGTTTGTGACGAACCAGAAGTTGATAACCACAAACTTGACGAAGTACCTGTTGATAATAATCCTATTGCTAATAATGAAGCACTTGTTGATAATAATCCTATTGCTAATAATGAAACACTTGTTGATAATAATTCTATTGCTGATAACAAAGCACCAAAAGGTATAGAAATACCAAAAAATATTGAAGCACCTCCTGATAACGAAGAACAATTAAAAGCTAAAGAAATAGATACTGCTACTCAAGCAATGACCAGGTTGGCTAAAGCTCTACAAAGAGAAGAAACTAGTGAAAAGAGCCTTGTCAAAATAGATCTCTTTACAGAAGATAGTATCCAAGACCCACAGATTGGTTAGATAAATTGAATATACCAGACAAGCTAATCATTAGGAAGGAGCTTAACAACTCGAAATAGCTAAAGCACATATGTAGGAAATTGTTGCTAAATGGGTTCATAGATTTACTGCTTTTTAGCTTACAGTATATAATGATCCAGCAAACCAAGCCACTAGTTTCAAAACTTTATTTACAAACAAGTTTTGTACCACTTGACAAAAAGCTATATAGCAACAACAGTTTTTTAATCTTAAACAAGAAAGTGATTCAGTTAATACATATATTGCAAAGTTTAAGAATCTTAACTAGAAAGTCGCAGATTTACCTCCAGCATTTATCCGCCAACATTTTATCCAAGAATTACAACCCAATTATACTATGTCTGTACAAGCAGCAGGTCTAAGTGACATTGATGCTATTATGAATGCTGCCAAAAATTGAAAAACAAAAAAACATATTACTGCTCTAGAAACAGATACCACAGAAGCAATTGCTCAACTTACAGATCAAATTGCTCAATTAAGTATTAATCTTGCCTAGCAACAGTAACAAAAACTAGCTTATAGTGCAGAAACAAAACAAAGCCCTTCTAGAAACAAATTTGCTTGTCATTACTGTGGTAAAAAGAGACATTATATGGCTGACTATTATCAAAGAAAATCAAAAAAAAATAGAAATAATAGAAGAAATAGAAATAACAACTATAATCAAAGA